AAAACAAAGGGGAAAAAAATCCTAAAAAAAAAAAGAAAATGAATACAGCCACCACATCTAAAGATTGGGAAGCTGCATAATATTGCATAATTGATTTGGGGGTTAATACCGCTTTACCTTGATCGTAGAGGAAATGCTTTATTTTATTTTTTTCTTGTCCATTAAGGGACACAAATGCAGATGCTGTTGGTTCCTCTTGCTGCCCACATGAAACAAAATTTGTAGGCCAGTCCAGAATAACCTTCTCTACCCAGCCTGCATCCATTTTTTGCTAGTTTCTCAGGAAAATGGATATCTCTGACCAAAAGAGTTTTTTTTAACTCTTCTTTCATTGACTTCAGTCAACATTCCTCACTATTGCTGCTTGATCTGGTCTCCACATATCCGCTATCCAGATTGACTGGAAAACTGCTTGCTAAATGTATGCAGTATATGCGCAGCACATCTGATTAGGACTGATGTCTGCTGATATCTCTCCTTTTATAGAGCATTCCCGTTCCCCATGTTGATCTTTTGCTTAGCATCCGAGTTGCCTGATATCCACCATACATGCTACCTTACCACACACATATTAGCAAAAATATAAAATGGTATATAAATACCAATCCATAAAACTACCCTCAGCCTTAAACTGATTATTGCTTACTTACTATAGCATAGAGCTTACATCTAATCCTTCATTCAGACCCACATGAACTTTTGTTTTTAATGTGAAAATCCAAAAGGTATCACGGTGACATACTGTAGCTTGTGGCACTTCTGGAGTGGAGTTACATGAGGGAATAGAAAATGTAACCTAAAATTTTAGAACTTTTTAGTAGTTTTTTTCATTCCTTTTTTTAATAAAGTTTTTTAAATATTTACTCATTCATACATCGACTGTGGTTACTGTATGTATTTGTCGTAAATTTACATTTATCTGTTCATTATTATAGCGTTTCTTTTTGTGTGATAATATTGTTTTACTGGCCAAAGTGTGTATACTAGTGACAGCTGAGAAATATAGTTTTTATTCCCCATTTTGTATTCCACTCTATAGATCCAATTTTTAATTATTAAAAAATTTTTTTCCAGTTCTGTGCATAGGGTTTACAGATGCCCAGTTTTATATACAGCATGTGAAAAATGATCCACGCGTATGTGATTTTAAGAGTACGAAGTATGACTTTGACTTCACGTACCCTGTAGCGCCTTTCTTTGACGCCGTTTAATTTCCCCTGTCAATTTCACCATTAGGCTTGAGAAAGTGGCGTAGGCTCAAAACACATTGCCTATTCAGTCTAGCAGTAGCTCAGGAAGCAGTTTGCTGACATAGATTGCTACAGCTGAAACAGCACCTATCCTTTCTGGAGCTGGCTCAGTGTACCAGTGCCAGCAATTCCAGCTTGACAACCTCAGGAAGCTTAGAGCGGCTGTATCCTTTCCTCCCTTGTGTCTGGTTTGCCCTGTTAACACTGTACTGGGGATCCTATTCACACACTGTGACGTCAGTTACACTGTAAGTGTAAAGATATTGTTTTTATTAAAATCATCAGTTTTATCACAACTGCATCCTGTATCCTTCTTTTGTGTCTGGCTACCAGTGAAGATCTACCCTGCTTTGCTCGAGGAGCTGCAGGATTCCTTGCCTCCTCCCAGATGGAACACCTACAAAATGTTATAGACTTTATAAACTGATTCATGTGGTAATAGACATTGATTTCATGCGCCACTCAGTTTTTTGTATTATTATTCTGGACCTGGATAAGAGATTGGAGGAACAAAAGCTATTCAATTCCCACATCAACACTAGCTATTGTATTCTGACAGCGGAAAGGTTTCCTAGCCATCAGAATACAATCATCACTGCTGCTGGATATAGCCGCTGACTATAACGGAGCGAAAAAAAAAATAGCAGGCTGATTGTGTTGAAGTTTGTCAGTGGATCAAATTCAGTACAACCAGTCTGCCCATAGATGGATTAAAATGTGTCCAGTTCCTGCTGAACTGGCTGAATTCTGATCCATCTGTGGCAGGCTTTTAGACCCTGTGTGACATTGGCTGCAGCTGATTTGCAGGGTCCTGGCCAAAATCATTGGCCAGGACTTGCTGACCAACTTGGGCTGCAGCCAATGACAGCGCGGGTTACCGGGGGAAGAAAGTGGCAATGTACAGGTACGTGATTGTGCCTGTACAAGCCACCATTCCGTAGTATAATGCGGTCGGCAAGTGGTTGAGGTCTAATTTTTATCTCCTGCCTACCTTTGTGGGCGTGCTTTCATGCACTCATCAGCATTGATGACTTGTGGGATCAATATTCCGGAGTTCTCCGGTCTCAGGAGTCACTTCAGACCCCTTTTTAGACTGTGGTTTTTCTAGAAAATTCAGGCTTTCCCTGAAGCTTAGCGTGGTTAGTTGTCTAGCCAGACAGTCTCTTAGACATGGAAGTTCTAGTCATTGATCATAGGGGTCAGGTTTACTGGGCTTAAGGCTTTCCCACTTAGACTGACAAGTACCCTTTTTTGTTAATGTTCCCCCTCGTGACCTGTTTCTTCTAGACCACATCATTTTGTGGGCCTTTCTTCTCTACACAGAAGGTTGTTGCTGTTCTACATGCTTTGGTGCAATCAGGTTGATTAAGGACAATCAGCCGATATCAGATTCAAATATTGGTCCTTTAGGTGGCTTGTGGGCCACAGACTGTCCTTTTGTTAGGCCTGTTTGTGGTTGTTGCTGAGCTGACCACCTTGTTGGACTGCTTTTGGATGTCCCAACATTATTTGAATACCTGTGTCCTTCAGTGGACAAGAATGAGAAAGTGGGAGTTTTATACTCACTGTAATATCAGTTTCTTGGAGTCTAATGAGGGACACAGGTCATACCCCTCTGTGTTTGATTCATGCTCTCGTCTCAGTTTGCCTCAAGCAGTACCTTTTTTGGTAGAGGAGGGAATATCCTGGGCTGCAGTTGTTTTATTTGCCAGTGTTCAATCCTCATGTAGGCAGCAGTATACCCGACAGTATCGGAACCACCCCCCAATTTCTTTGTATGAGAAACATCAGCCCTTCATTCTTAACCCCAAATGCAGAATCTACTGTACATCCACCTCCTGGTCATAACACTGAACACAGAACCTTTTATGATAGATGGATATGCTGACTGCATGTATAGTCTGACACAGAGCTTTTTTGTGCTATTGCAGTAGGGTAACCACACTGCTTGTGCATTTATCTGTTATAGCTAATTGGATTACATACAGGTGAAACTCAAAAAATTAGAATATCGTGCAAAAATTCATTTATTTCAGTAATGCAACTTAAAAGGTGAAACTAATATATGAGAGAGACTCATTACATGCAAAGCAAGATAGTTCAAGCCGTGATTTGTCATAATTGTGATGATTATGGCTTACAGCTCATGAAAACCCCAAATCCACAATCTCAGAAAATTAGAATATTGTGAAAAGGTACAATATTCTAGGCTCAAAGTGTCCCACTCTAATCAGCTAATTAAGCCATAATACCTGCAAAGGGTTCCTGAGCCTTTAAATGGTCTCTCAGTCTGGTTCAGTAGGAATCACAATCATGGGAAAGACTGCTGACCTGACAGTTGTGCTGAAAACCATCATTGACACCCTCCATAAGGAGGGAAAGCCTCAAAAGGCAATTGCAAAAGAAGTTGGATGTTCCCAACGTGCTGTATCAAAGCACATTAATAGAAAGTTATGTGGAAGGGAAACGTGTGGAAGAAAAAGGAGCACAAGCAGCAGGGATGACCGCAGCCTGGAGAGGATTGTCAGGAAAAGGCCATTCAAAAGTGTTGGGGACTTTCACAAGGAGTGGACTGAGGCTGGAGTCAGTGCATCAAGAGCCACCACACACAGACGGATCCTGCACATGGGCTTCAAATGTCGTATTCCTCTTGTCAAGCCGCTCCTGGACAACAAACAACGTCAGAAGCGCCTTACCTGGGCTAAAGAAAAACAGACCTGATCTGTTGCTCAGTGGTCCAAAGTCCTGTTTTCTGATGAGAGCAACTTTTGCATCTCATTTGGAAACCAAGGACCCAGAGTATGGAGGAAGAATGGAGAGGCACACACTGCAAGAAGCTTGAAGTCCAGTGTGAAGTTTCCACAGTCTGTGTTGATTTGGGGAGCCATGTCATCTGCTGGTGTTGGTCCACTGTGCTTCATTAAGTCCAGGGTCAACGCAGCTATCTACCAGGAGAATTTGGAGCACTTCATGCTTCCTTCCGCAGACTAGCTTTATGGGGATGCTAACTTCATTTTCCAGCAGGACTTGGCACCTGCCCACACTGCCAAAAGCACCAAAACTTGGTTCAAAGACCGTGGGATTACTGTGCTTGATTGGCCAGCAAACTCGCCTGACCTGAACCCCATAGAGAATCTATGGGGCATTGCCAAGAGAAAGATGAGAGACATGAGACCGAACAATGCAGAAGAGCTGAAGGCCGCTATTGAAGCATCCTGGTCTTCCATAAAACCTCAGCAGTGCCACAGACTGATAGCTTCCATGCCACACCGCATTGAAAGGCAGTAATTGCTGCAAAAGGGGCCCAAACCAAGTACTGAGTACATATGCATGCTTATACTTTTCAGAGGTCCGATATTGTTCTATGTACAATCCTTGTTTTATTGATTGCATGTAATATTCTAATTTTCTGAGATTGTGGATTTGGGGTTTTCATGAGCTGTAAGCCATAATCATCACAATTATGACAAATCACAGCTTGAACTATCTTGCTTTGCATGTAATGAGTCTCCCTCATATATTAGTTTCACCTTTTTAAGTTGCCTTACTGAATTCAATGAACTTTTGCACGATGTTCTAATTTTTCGAATTTCACCTGTATTCTGCACCACAAGTGGTAATTTGTCAGAGAATATGTATATGTAGAACTTTTAACCTCTTTGTGTGCTTTCTTAGTAACACATACATAGGTTTGTATGTTCTTCACGATTTGAAAAAAAAAAAATTCATATGTCCTTATTATTGTGATAGGTTTGACGTCACTGACTTTACTGACCTTCCTGTGGTGGATGAAGATGAATTCGTTATTCATGATATTACAGATTTTGAAAATGGTTCTAAAAGTTGCAACAAGAAAACTGTAAAAAATCCTATTGATAGCAAAAAGAATAAAAAAAAGGAAAAGAATGTTCCACATGAGGTGCTTAACGTAAGTGACTGCTCTTCTCTAATTGTTCACTTGTGGGAAAACAGACCTTTATGGCAGGGGGTTGTTAAACTTTTTTACTTGAGGACCAAAATTTTTACTGCACTGTAACCCAAGAAGAGAATTACCGGTATTATAAGAATGTTAACAATGCTATACAAAGGCAAATAACTATGACCATGTAATTATAAGAAACAAAAACACACTAAATGTATTTTTTTCCCATTCAAGTATTGGTCTTAAAACCATAGTTTTTATTCAAAATGCAGAATAGGTTTCTGAATGTTATACCAGTGTCAATAAACAACTGAAAAGGCACCCCTGGGTACTCCAATGAGAAAATTGATGTGGTGTTCTTCTATGCATACCACAGTGAATGTTGGGTGTAGCCAGATTGCATTGACAGTGGGAAGGGCTGTGTAAGGGAGCACTTGACCATAGCTGTGAATTCTGGGAGCCATTACCTCACTCATAGCTTCCCATGGCCCAGCTGTTGTCGGCATGTTCACTTCTCCCCTGCAGCAGTCGCTCACTGATGCAGGGGAACTGGAGCTGCTAGATCACATGACTGAATAGGACCTGATTAAAAAAATACACAAATCTTTTTTATAAAGGGTGTGCAGGATATGTAAGAGGAGGGCAGTAGGAATGGTTAGAGTTAGGCTTTTCTTCTACTTTAACTAGAACCTGAGCCTACATAGCAGAAGTGTCTGAATTGCACCCCAGTACAGTTTGCCAACGGATGAGTTTTGTAGTCTGCTCTGTTCAAGGAATTGTACATGCAACTTTTTTGGTGCAGCTTTGAAATGAATAGGCCATTTTAACTTAACATGTTGCATAATGCATGGTAATACAACTCAAAACAATAGTACCTGACTCTTAATTACTGAGCCTAATAAAATCCTAACAGACACCGACACATTTACATTATCCCTTAGCACAATGGTTTTTAAAATGGTCTACTTCTTTTACCCAAGCCTGCCGGAGGGGGGAGGGGGGGGGCTCGTCTACCGGACTGGTTTGCGTGTCCTTCCACCAAGATCAAGAATGTGATGCCCCCATATGAGCTTTGTGCCCTTTTTTGGGGCTGTGAACGTTCTTACAAGTCTCTACCGGTTCTCTCACCTCAGCCGCATTACGTATTTGCCTGGTGAAGTCAGAAGGCAGGTCTTTGTTTTTTTTCTTTAGGATGGCGGGCAGCTCATACCTGCTTTCTGGAAGACCTCCCATACACCTCCCCTCCTTTGCTGGGTTCATATAATGAATTATATTTTGAGAATGGAGGAGCTCCTAGCTCAGGAGTGAGAGGCAATGGAAAAATGTCTTACCTTGTGGAGAGCTTGGGTCATGTACTCTTCCTCTGCCTCCCTGGCACGGAAGCACCATGAGGTATAGTATCCCAGAGTGGGGCAATTGTTCTCCTCCTAGTGGCCTGGTTCTATTTATCCTCCCTGTTTCCTTTTTTTAGTTTGTTTAGGCTAGTTGTCTGCGTGGTCCCCACATCCCCTTCCCACTCCCTCCTCCTTATCTCTCTCTACTCTTTTTACTTTTGTTTACTTCTCTGTTTCTTTTAATCAGGAAAAATTGTACACTGCTCTTACCTTTGTACTCTGTGTTCTGGTTTACAACTACTGCACATATGCCCAAATACATATTTGAAAAATGGATTACATGTACCAGAATTGTTTGTCCTTGATTTTGCTCACATGTTTTGTAGTCCTTTGCCTTTATGGGCGTCTTTTGCACTGCTGGTATTTGTGCTTACCTTTTTCCTTGAATAAAAGATATATTTAACTATAAAATTGTCTACTTCTCACTTCTGAGTTTCGTGTCCATCTCTTGTTTCTGCTGTTGTTTATTTACTGCTCTCCTCCACCACCACTGTTTACCTCTGCACTGCTCACTCACAACTGCTCATCTCTGCACAGGCCCTCCACCAGTGGTCACTTCTGCAGCTCTACTGCACTCCTCATCCAACACTTATCACATCTGCAGTACCTACATCCTCCTCCAGTGTTGATTAGTGCTGAATTTCCTCCCTCCCATTCCCACTCCTCTCCTCTGCATCCCCCTACACCCCAATACCACTGTCTTCCTTCCAGCATCCTGTTCTAGTACCAGGTGTGTGTGGTTTTCCATACTGCTGCATTAATTGGTTGCTGTTGCTTTGCATCCTGCTCAAGTATTGGGATGCCTGCCTTTACACGCACATGAGCCATTCCTTTGTTTCCTTGGCCGTGTGTTTTGGGTCATTGTCATGCTGGAACACCCATCCACGACCCATTTACAATGCCAGTTCTTTGTGAGTGGGCCAACATTCAAAATCAGCAGGGGATCAAATACTTATTTCCTTCACTGTATGTATGTAACAGCAGAGAACGCGGGCATATGATGACTTGGGTCTGTGGACCAATATGACCGCAGTTCGTTCTTTTCTGTAATGCTGGGTTCATATAATGAATTATATTATGAGAATGTAATGTAATGTTGAGAGTTAGGCCCAAAACCGTTTTAAATTCAGAAACTGTCATAAGTTTCAATGTGAATTGTCTGGCGAGAGCTGAATTTGGGAAGGCAGCCACGTATTGTTGTGCGTATAAATTGCCTTGGCCCACAATCAATTGGTACAAATCTTCAGTGAAAAACAGAGGAGGGGATAAATGCTAGTGCTGGCAGCGAACGTGGCCGATCCTGCTAACTGCATATTTGGGGACACTATACAAAGGAGGCACTAGTATAGTTCTGTTTGTGTGTGTGTAAAAAATGTAGTGCTATTACTCGGTGCGGTGTTCTCTCTTCTCTCCCTGGACCGACTGGGGCGGGGGGGGCAAGTGCGTTCACACCCCAAAATATGAAGCGACGCAAGATTGTGTCGCGTTGCCAAGAGCTACTGCTTGCCCGCAAAATGCAGTTAAGCGGTTGGCAAGTAGTTAAAAAAAAAAAAAAAAAAAACAATACTTTTATCAGACTAGTACAATGTTACCATAGTAACATTGTACTACTGTGGAGGGGGGGGGGGGGGGGGATTGTTTATTTTTTTTTTTTATTTTTTCACTTTGCTTTGCAGGAGAAATGAAGATCATTTCTCCTGCTATGCAAAGCTTGCTGTCATGAACCTAACTCATTCATGAACTGTTATGAATGAGTTACGTTTTTGACAGCTTAAGATAGTGGTCTGTGATTGGCTGGAGCTGTTCACATGGTACAGGGTGCTGTGATTGGCCCATGTGACAGCTGTGGGACAATCACAGCTCACTAGGAGGAGAAGCAGCTGTTATGAATGAGATTGATTCATAACAGCTTTGCTTACATTGTGATCACATAGTGATCACATGATCACTGGGTCACATTCTCTGGTATCTTCATTCCAGCCCCCCCTGTGTTTGTACAGCCAGAGCAACGTTCTGGTACGTCACTTTGCCTGTAGCTGTCACCCAGGCCGCAGTACATTGCGGGCGGGAATCGGTTAAACTTGACAGGTACCCGCTCCCACCTCCGCTGCGATCGCCTAAGGCGATTGCAAACGGAAGTTGTCCTCCCCCTCTCTCCCCGTAGTCTTCTGGGACACGTGAGAGGTCCCAGAAGGCTACAGAACCATTCACAAAGCGCAGCGCTATTTGCACATGCGCAGTGGGCACCCGGTTGTGAAGCCGCAAGCTGTCACAACCGGGTGCCCACACTGAAGATGCCGACGCCAGGGAGAGAAGACGGCTGGTGCAACCAGCCGTGGTGAGGACACTGCTGGACCGAGGGACAGGTAAGTGTCTGTAGTTTAAAAGTCAGCAGCTACAGTTTTTGTAGCTGCTGATTTTTTTTTATAAGTCAACTGGAACTCCGCTTTAAGGTTACAGCTGAATCCCTAGCTGTTTTGATAAGCACAACTTTGGCATTTCCTGCTAATACAAAAAATTGCCTATTCCTTATGACCTCTTTCCTGTTTCTTTTGTCCAGCCCATTATATTGAAGGGACTATAGGAAAGGTGTAGGGGCAGGGCTTTGTGGCAAGAACTGAAACTACCTGGAAGAGCTGGAGCCTGTTAGAACGGTCTTAAAATTAGGACATAAAAGGAAGTTTTTAGAAGGGTGTAGCAGGTTTGTGTAGGTACCTGTACATGCCTTCTTTTTATACGTGCAGCAGTTTGACCACTTCTCCAGTGACAGAGAGTCTGTTTGAATGTATTACATGTAATTCAACAGGACTTTGAGACATTAGCGAGAAAACAATTACAGCATTGTTCTAATCAAATTATTCCTTTTAAATAGGTTACTTATACCAGTGCAAGGAAGATGGATAATAGTGCTACAGATTCAAGGAAGAGCCAAAAGAATGGAAGAGATTCATCATCTCCATTAATAGGTAAATCGTTTTCTTTGTTTCATTAAAAGACCCAAGATTCACAGACAGTCGAGTATTACTGCTGCTGCTACAGTAGGATTTGGACACTGGCAATTAAAAAAAATTGTCAGCCTGGTTAAACCCCAATAGCTTCAAGCATGCCCCAGTTTTTTTTTGCTAGTGTTATGAAAGGATGGATGTCTTTTCTCTGGTAAGAAAACTTTACCTATTTTTATCATCCATTTTCTCTTTCCCAAGATTATTTTTTCTTCATTCAAGGCTTTATCTATGTGCTGCTGAGCTGATCTTCTAATACAACTGTGTTAGTTGCAGAGAGCTTTCCAGTTCCAGAGTTATGGGACAGCCACTGGTGTAATGCAGTCTTTGAAGATTCTATATTGAGTAGGTTGAATGGGGTGAGCATTGGGAGCTATTCTTTTTATTGTAAACGTTGAGCTCCTTTGCTAGGTGCTTTCAACAAAAATGGAGTTCTGAGTGACACCTACAAATTCCATGGTCTCTTCCTGCTTTTTTTACTTTGAGGTAGTATATTTTCGCCATTGCTCTGATTTGCAAAAGACACGTGGTTCCACCTCAGTTAGTCCTTGCTGCTGCCTACATTGACCTGGTTACCTCCAGCCATTTGAATCTCTCCTGCTTTCAGTAGGTATTTCAAAGGGTACCCATGGTTTTTATAGTGTATTCTTAAGTAAGCTGCTAGTGCAACATGTTGAATCCTAAACACATTTGGAGCAATCCTGCTGCATTGGCTTCTAGCTTGCAATGTAACAGTTCTCAGGCAGCCTACAGTGTTTCTTCTCATTGACTTGACACTGAGTGCTTTTTCACATATATGTGGATTGAATGCAGTTTGATCTGTTTCCAATCCGCACGACGTGAAATATCATTGCTTCCTATGGCTCCTGTCCACTGGCAGTGCGCATTCAGTGCGGTTTGAAAAAGTCATGTACGATTTGTGAGCAGTTCCTTCAGGTTCAGGTGCGGATTACAGACTATTGACTTCTAAGGGAACCTTTTCTAAACCACATATATATGAACAGGTTAAAATCCTGAGCTAATCCTGTCCTGAACCTGGTGTAAACCTGACATGAACTGCTGAACAACTACTGTGTCAGTTAGCTATGAAACCTGAGCTTTAGTCCGCACCGCACATGTGTGAATCACCGCACATGTGTGAATCACCGCACATGTGTGAATCAGCTCTGACAGTCTTGATAATTGTCACTTGCTTTAGTCCATACATTCCTTGGAATCCAACATAGCTCTGTCTGGTCTGTCTGGTGTGGCCTTCTCTTCAGCTTTATGCAAGTAAGAGTTCTCCAAAACCATGCTGAAATGTATGGGCCGAACTGCAGCTTTGATTACGGACACTGAATGCAGAGGCTGCAAGCAGTCTTTTGTACCTTCCCCTCCAGAATCATTAGCTGACATTCCTGCTGCTGTAGAAACCTCTGAGCCCTCTGCTGTGGAGTCTGTCTGATGAAAGTTTCACAATCCTTGATGGACGTATTTGTCCCTGAGGAGCCGCAGTCACTTCCATAGCATACAGGCTTAGATACTATGCTGGTTCTTAATGCATTCCACATCCTTAGAAACAGAATAGCTTGTAGCTTCTACTAGTGCTTTTTACTAGTCTGGGTTCACTGAGAGGCCCCAAGACTATGAAAACTTTTCCAGTATACCCTCACTTACTTGAAAGTGGTCTGTACAGTGAGGGGGATAAATGATAAACTATTCCTCCCAAATGTTTTACAGACCATTCTAATATCATTTTGAGGAGGCCTCCATCAAGAAAGTGAGCTGTTCCCAAGGCAAATCCAGCAGTTTCCTGATTTATTAAAGAACTGACCTTACCTGTTGAGGATGAATCAGTGTTGGGTATCCCTTTGACAACCTTTTGAAAACCCTTCCCAAATCCTTGTTTTTGCAAACAGGCCCTGATTTCTATAATGTTGGAATGTCCAGCTCATACCCTTTTATTTGTAGATCTCTTAGAGATTACACCTACATTATTGTGGATTAGTTGATATTTATTGTATTATTTTCTGAATAAGTCTCCTGTCGGTAAGTATGCAGATAACTCATTGGCTGAAATGTTGGTCTATAGAACACAATGTAAAAAGTGTTTGCTGCACATGTATCAAAAATGAGAATCGTGTAGGATTAGGTTTCATTTCAGACCATTGCAACTCAACATTCTGGCAGTGTGGGACAAAAGGACTTTGTTTTGCACTGCTCCTTGCGTCTGACCTACAATGCTTAAATTTTCTTTAATATGGTGGATTTTTAATCCAGAGCCAGAATCAAGGAAATACTTTACTCTAAAGAAGTGTAAACTTTTAATGATGAATTCCAGCCTGTTAGAGGTATTTGGTTGTTGGAGGAAGCTCGCCTTCCCATCAGAAATCTGGAACTCAAATTTGGTTCAACCTTCTATGCTCTACATGTCAGTTGCAAAGTAATCCAATCAGAATCAAGTCAGACAATGCCATGGCAGTGGTCTATATCAGCCATCAAGAAAAGCACTAGAAAGTTTGCTGCTCAGAAGCAGACTTGATTCTCACTTGGGCAGAACTGCATGTTCGCAGGCCACATCTGTGGTGTGGAAAGTTGTCAGGTGGACTATCTCAACTCTTACTGTATTAATTTGGGGAATGGGCATTCCACATGGAGGTGTTCAAAGCCTGTTGCTATGGGTAGGGAAACACTGGATATGGATCTTCTGGCATTGAGATTCAGCAACTAAATTAACTGGTTTGGTGCCAGGTCCATGAACCCTTGGGCATTGGCAGTGGACACACTGGTGACTCCATGGGATCAGTTCAACCTATTATACTCCTTAGCCCCTCCACAGCTACTTCCTCGTCTGCTCCACAGCATTGAGCTTGAGGGCATTTCTGTGGTTTTTATTCCAGCAAACTGACGCAGTAGGACATGGTGCTTGGACATACTCAAACTCCTGGTGGACTCTTCATTCCAGAATGTACAGATCTTCTGCTCCAAGGACTGGTCCATCACCCTACTTCTCGGTTGCTGGCTTTAACAGCATGGCTGTTGAAGGCTCAGTCCTGAAGGGCAAGGGCCTATTCGATTCTCTCATCTCTACCCTCTTGATGCCCAGGAATCTGACTTTTTTGCAAAGTCTACCATCACACTGGGAAGACATACATTGCAAGATTATGCAATTCCATCTTGGTAAGTACTGCGTGGGATACATGCTATCCTTTTCTCCAGTCTGGCCTACATCAGTAACTGGCCTTAAGTATCATCAGGAGGTAAATCTCTGCCCTGACTATTTTTTTTTCAGAGACCTTTGAAAAAAAGTGTTGCCTTTTTTGGTGGGAAGTGCTTTAAGTGGTAGTAAGCCTAATGCAAAATCTGCTGACAGGCAGGGCTTTTCTAACAGAAGACACCCTTCTGTGCACATGCGCATCTCAGACACATTTACAGCATGCTCTGCATGTGTCTCCGGAAGTGACATCACTGCAGCCCGGCTATTCAAGCAGCTGAAGATTCTGAACCTGGAAGGAAGTCCACGTGAAGATGGAAGTGCTGGGGAGCCGGGACGGCTTTTTTTTTTTTTTTTTTTTTCGTTTTACTACCAGAACTTTACTTCCGTGTTAAAGTGATGTAGAGAAAATTATCTACTTTGAGCTGTAGCTAGGTTTTTCTGTGATAGAAGACATTTTTGTGAATTTTCTGATTGATGGATTCGTGTACTTTGATCTAGCTCACCTTTTTTTGGTCTAACTCAACTTTGCCAAAACAAAAAGCTTCACCACTGACAATAATACTCAATGCCTACTTGGCACTTGCAGTATTGCTGGCTGGCTTGATGATTTTGCCTGTGCACAGAAGCAAATGGTGTTACCACACGGCTGCTCTGTACAACCAGGAAGTGGCTGGAACTGCTCTGTCCTATTTCTTTATTATTTCCCCCTATTATTTCTGGGATACCAGAACCTCCACTGTCTCTCCCCCCAGTGTCCAGCTAACACTTTATAAATGCTTCACTAACACTCCATAAATGTTCTAGGTACTGTTAAGGTTTGGTTACAGAGCATTACCACTGAAATCAGTGGGGGCGGCTGTTAAGCTTTGATGCCTCATGAAGGCGACACTGCTTAGTTTTGTAATACGACACAACACTACAGTGCCTTTAAAAAAGAATTCATACCCCTTGAAACTTACCATATTTTGTCATGTTACAACCAAAATTGAAAATGTATTTTATTTGGATTTTATGTGATAGACCAACACAAAGTGGCACATAATTGTGAAGTGAAAGGAAAATGATGCATGGTTTCAAAACTTTTACAAATAAACATGTGAAAAGTGTGGCAAGCATTTGTATTCAGTACCAATCCCCCCCACCAATACTTTGTAGAACTACCTTTCGCTGCAATTACAGCTGGAAGTCTTTTTGGGGATGTCTCTACCAGCTTTGCACATCTAGAGAGTGAAATTTTTGCCGATCTTCTTTGCAAAATAACTCAAGATTTAGGTCTGACTGTGACTGGGCCATTCTAACACATGAATATGCTTTGATCTAAACCATTCCATTGTAGCTCTGGCTGTATGATTAGGGTCGTTGTTCTGCTGGAAGGTGAACCTCCACCCAGTTTCAAGTCTTTTACAGACTAACAGGTTTTTTTCTAAGATTGGCTATATACATCTTCCCATCAACTCTGGCCAGCTTCCCTGTCACTGCTGAAGAAAAGCATCCCCACAGCATGATGCTGTCCCCACCATGTTTCATGTTGGGGATGGTGTGTTCAGGGTGATGGGCACTGTTAGTTTTCTGCCACACATAGCGTTTTGCTTTTATGTGACCAGAACACCTTCTTCTGCATGTTTGCTGTGTTCCCCACATGGCTTCTTGCAAACGGGACTTCTTATGGCTTTCTTTCAACAATGGCTTTCTTATTGCCACTCTTCCATAAAGGCTAGATTTGTAGACTGCATGACTATGTCTTGTGGACAGATTCTCCCACCTGAGCTGTGGATCTGTGCAGCTCCTCCAGAGTTACCATGTCAGTTTTGGTAAAAGGCCATGTCTTGGTAGGTTTGCAGTTGTGCCATACTGCCATACCATTTTTGTACAGTGCTCCGTGAGATGTTTAGAGCTTGGGATATTTTTTAATCTAACTTTGCTTTAAAGTTCTAAACAACTTTATCCCTGACCTGTCTGGTGTGTACCTTTTGGCCTTCATGGTTCTGTTTGTTCACCACTGTTCTCTAACAAACCTCTGTGGTTTGTACAGAACAGCTGTATTTATACTGAGTTTAAATTCCAGATAGGTTGACTCTATTTACTAATTAAGTGACTTCTGAAGGCAATTGGTTCTACCAGATTTTAGTTAGGGGTATCAGCGTAAAGGGGGCTGAATACAAATACACGCCACACTTTTCAGAAATTTATTTGTAAAAAATTTGAAAACCATTTCTCGTTTTCCTTCCACTTCAAAATTATTTGCCGCTTTGTGTTGATCTATCACATAAAATCCCAATAAAATACATTTATGCTTCTGGTTTTAACATGTCAAAACGTGGAAAATGTCAAGGGGTATGAATACTTTTTCAAGGCACTGTACAGCTCCTGTGTGAACAGCACTGTGTGGTGCCATTATAATATTCATGGCAGGCATTGAGGGTGGCTCTGAGGCTTTAAAAATGTGGAATAAATGTTGCATAAACACAGGGTATTGACACATGAGTGAATGAACCCTAAGATGGTACTTTTTTTTTACTTTTCCAGATAAAGAGAAAAAATCAAGATCTACTGAGGTAGACAGGTTAGTTTTGCAGAAATATTTGCAGGCTGATGTTGATGACCAGAACGAGAGCATCTCCTCAAGACCCAAAAGAGTGTCTGCACCACCGTCATCTTGGTGGGTAGTAAAACAAGCCGGAAGGAATTGTACATTTGATGTGGAGGAAGCCTTCCCACAATATTCACCAAAAAGCAAAAGTATGTCACTGTTTGTTATTAAAAAAAAAAAAAAGTTAATCACTCATTTGTTTTAAACTTATTGTATTTGTATTAATTTTTATATTTGTGATAAGATTTTCCATATGTATACAGAACAGGGAGATGCTTTAGAGCTGGGCACAGGACGGCCAGTAAACATGGCCAGTGTGAGGACACCGCAGGATCGAGGGACAGGTGATTGTCTGTTTTTTTAAGTCAGCAGCTACAGTTTTTGTACCTGCTAATTTTTTTTTTTTTTTATATTTATTTTGACTGGACCTCCGCTTTAAGCTGGGTAAATTTTTGGCAATTTTTTTTTTGACAGAATACTGTCATTCTATCTACAGAATAGATTTGTTTGAAATATTGTTGATATACAGAATATGGTAAAAATTAGTTGAAAGATTTCCTGATCCTGGTTCTAAATTGTTGAGGGCTCGTACACACCATATGTGCATGGAAACTGATGCGCAAATTTCACTTGCAGAGACATCAGTTCATATCAGTTTTCATGCGTGCGTCGGTGAGTTTTATATACCTTGCAGATTCCTGCGCAGAAAAAATCTGCATGCGACACTAGTGTTGTGGTGTGAACAGGGCACATAGAGAACAATTGATTTTGCTGTGCCCTTGCAGAATGCATGCAAAAAATGTCTTTGCTCTATGGTGTGAACGGGCCCTGAAACTGTTGGTGTCGTGGTTTCCCATGACGAAAGTGGAAATTTTCTTATTCAACATTTCTATACGTTTTTGTTAAAAAGGAGGTATAGCCCATGTAAACGTTTGCCTTTTTTTAACTGTGATTTTGTGGGGGGGGGGGGGGGTTTACTCAGTGGAACTGCTTTCCAGTGAGTTCAGTTTACTCTTGAAATGTTGTTTAAGGCCTGTTTTGCACCTATGTGTTTTTTAGTGCATTTTGCAGAAACGCACTACAGTCCATTTAACATGGTTTCCTATGAGACACGTTCACATCTATGCATTTTTCAGCCGCTGCTTTTTTGGAAGGGGTCAGGGAACGGCAGAAATGTATACTAGCACATGTGGTCTGTTTTTGACCCATTTTGCGTTTTTAACCTGCATAACAAAAACAAAAAAATTAAAGAAAAATGCATCAAACGTGTGTGCAAAAACGCACCATAAAAAGCACTGCAGAAATGGATCAAAAGCAAACTGCATAGGTTTGAATCAGGCCTAAGGGCTTGCTGGCCCACTTTTATTAATAAAATGGAAAAGTTCACACAGAAAATCGGTTTCCCACATAGGGCTTCCCACCATCAACACGAGCATAAATGATGATCAGCCTCGTGACTCTTTCTAGTTGCACCACTGCTCAGGCTTACTGCCGTGGTCTTTCTGAACATCAAACCCAGCGCTCCTGTATGTACTCTGTATCTCGGCTCTCTTCCAGTTCCTTGCTACGCTCTTGCTACCCCATGCGGACTCTCTGACTCTTCTGCACAGACTGTCTCTCTGGAGTGGAGACCTAAACTGTTGTCAGGTCCTAGATTATAAAGGCTGTGAGCACCTGTACACTCAGCTTGCTGGTTACTGTCAAGACTCGGACACTGCGTTGGAGACTCCTTCCATCCCAAAGCACTGCGGAATCTCTGAGCTCCAGCCCCTGATTAGGTAATTACAAAAACTAGGAGAAAGATGAAAAACAATCTTTCTTCTCAGAAATGACATTCTGGAGCCCGCACTCTACATACCTGCAAACCCTGTGTCACTACGTTTTCACAGTGGCAGGACCTCACACTGCCACACAACATATTTGAATAGGCAAATATTAGATCTTCTTTCAGACAGTGAACTGGTCTAGTCAAAGCTTTGATTTGAATCTCAAATGCAAGGTTCCTTGCTGCTTCATAGCCACTGAGGCTTACTTCTGCAGCTTCCAGTTTCTGTTGACTCCTCTGCTTAGCCTTGGGGCACTATAGCAGGACTATGCTGGAATGAAGATTCAGGCCGGTCTGTAATGCTGCTTTGGGAGGGGTAGTCTATCTCCACAGGACACTAGTAGCCTCTGTGCACACAGTTGTAATGACTCTGTCTTTCTTTGGTCACTGTATTCACCCTTCTGCTCCACAGCATTTTCCCCAATTTTCTAGGGTGGAGTTTACAGCCTCCATGTTTGGTTTAATTGGCAGAATCTTGTTTTTTTTTTTTTTTCTTTTGGAGGTCATAGATAATTGGACACAGGCGAACCTCTTTAATCTCTTCTCCTGGGACAGCCTCTGACTTTGCTGTAGACACATTGCTTAAAGCAGAGCTCCATTCAACTCTTAAAAAAAAAAAAAAAAAAAAAAAAAATGTCAGCAGCTACAAAAACTGTGGCTGCTGACTTTTAAAAAATCAGCTACTTACCTGACTTTCGATCCGACGTGTGTGCTCATACCAGCCGGGTTCATCAGCTGACCTCTCTCCCCAGCGCCGGTATCTTAAGTGTGGGCACTTGGCTGTGACAGCTTGCAGCTTCACTGCCCTGTGCCCACTGCTCACATGCGTGAGGAGTGCTGCGTGTTGTAAATGGCCCTGTAGTCTTCTGGGACCTGTCACGTGCCCTAGAAGACTCCAGGGAGGTGGGGGGCAACTTCCGATTCCGATCGGCTAGGCGGTCAGGGCAGAAGTGGAAGCGGGTACCTGTCAAAATCGGGTACCCACTCTTCCCAGAGCCATACCATTGATACCCTTGTTTTTTTTTTTTTTTTATTACAGTTCGGTCCATATATGTTTAGACACAGTCACAATTTTAGATTTTTTCAGGTTTATACCAAAACATATTCAAGCTATAGTTATATAATGGATTTACTTGTATATCTGACTTGTTAGGGCAATGCATTTCTTATATCTGCTTTGTGTAGTATTTGAGAGGATAGCATTGCTACAAATTGGACTGTACATTTTATGTGTATATTTCAGGAAAAGCATCTGCTGACTCAAGGGAGCCTTCAGAATTGCAAAAGGATAAGGAAGAAAGTTTTGAGCTGAAAGTGAGTGGACCACTAGGTCAGTATGAAGAGAAAGCTTTGAAAGACAGTGATGAAAAAGCATCAAAGACCTTAAATACTAGGAAAAGAAGAAAAAAACTAAAAAGCGTTGAAAGCAAAGAAACCGCAGGACCATCAAAAGTGAAAAAACGTAAAAAGAACGATCATAAAATATCACAAACATTCACAATAAAAAAAAAAAAGTCCGCAAAACTCTGGAATCAACTGGAAGAAGAGACACAGGAAAGTGACACCGCAAGTCCTCAGGATAATGATTTGAATGTGCCTGATTTTCCAAATGAAATGGACAACTTATCAAGGGCAGCAATACCCAAAAGTCCAACAATGAGTGAATCATGGTATTCATCTCCAGAGACGCATGAACCCATTTTAATTGAGTGTTCTAAAGAATCCCCTGCTTCTGGAAGTGAAATTCAGCATATATATTTGAAGAATTTTAAGAGCACTGCAGAGAGCAAGCCAGAACCACACCATAGGTATTTTTGTCTTTGCAACCCTTTTAACCAGTTTTGCTTCAGGATCATTTCACATTTCTGATATGAGCCATTTATTTGGTCATCATTTTTATGTTTAATGAGTTATTATGGAGACACCGTCTCCATGCCCATGCAAGGGATCCCTTGATTCTTAAAGTAGTATTAACCCCCCTCCCTTTAAAAAAAAAAAAAATGGCTTTTTATGGTATTGTAGCTTACCAATTCTTAAATGTGATGGTTGCATTATTTTTAGTCTTTCTTTCTTTTATTTTAACCTAGTGATCCTGCCAATAAGTCTGTTGTTTTTCAACAGAGCACGCTGTGTGGTAGATGTAGAAGTTGAAGGGTTGAGACAAACCATTTAACACTGACAGGGGTGCTTACTATGGTCAACTTGAATGAATGTAAAAGGAAAAAAAATGTTTCTGTAACTTCTTTTAAAGTGTTTGTTGGAATTAGGCTCAATATGTTTGTATTTAAATCTGCTAGTACATCTAATATTACCGTCCCTCCAGACTGTTGCTGTCCAAAGGTGTCTGTTTGCTCCTTCACTCAGAGTGGAGGCACTCTAATACATGAGGTGTGTTACTGGCCAGATCACCAGGTGATACCAGATGGGAGAATCCTAAGAAAAGAAAACTGATGAAGCCACCACACTTAATGATCTGTTAAGCTGCAATATATACATTTTTTTGGTTTTAAGTTTAATCCCTCACAGATCCTTGCTCCTCCATACCCAGTGAGTATACCCAGCACTTAAAGTGATTGTAAAGGCTATTTTTTTTTTTTATTTATTAAAATAATAAACATTTTATACTTACTTGCTCTGTGCAGTGGTATTGCACAGAGTGGTCCCTTAACTCTCCAGAGTTTCCAACCTACGCTCTGCACTCTTCGTTTCTGCATCTGCCTCCATAGCTAGTAGTGTGCTATGGGGGCACATGTGCGGTGTGCTCCTAAACTAGGATGTGTGCATCTATAAACATTGCAAATATTGGCAAACTGTCAAACTTACAGTATCTCCCAGTGCCTACAACACAAATCACTGCCTTTGGACAGTCCTAGCTGGTATAAACCCCCTCTCTGCTATAGGCAATCCGGTTATTTCTGCCTAGTGTAGGAGTAAAGACCTAGATCTTTTGATTCCATAGCTTTTTTTTTTTTTCTTTTTTTCTGGGATTTTGTACTGCGGAGATCTTCAGTCGACCACCAGGCTGGGCGACAGGCTGGATAATCTGGATCCAGTGGTCAGTCCAGTCTGGCCAATGAGCGCACACAGACTCAACGCTGGGTTGGCTGTGACGAGCTGGACCAAAAGGGGCGGCCAGTGAAGTAAACATCTTGCAGGGACACACATGACCGGGAACCTATAGTCCGTGTCACAGTGTTACCCATGGCCGACAGCCCCCCCCTTCCCCCCCTCACTTCGGTGGAGAGGTGGATCTGTCAAGGGAGCCTTACCCACATGCTCCAATGGATCCGTAAGTAAGAATGCCTCCTTCCTTCTGTCACAGGATCGGACGCTGGGCGTGGGGGCTCCCTGGGGTGGTCGGTCCTGCAGAGTCCCCTCCAGGGTCTGTCTCTCTTACTACCCCCTTACCCTCTGTGGCGATTTGGCATGGGGTTAGGTACCCTGGTCCTCTAATTTCCCTTGGCTATAGATTTCAGGTGGTCCTTCCTTTTCTGTGCTGAGTAGGCTCCCTGCACAGGGGCTCCATCCCCATTAAGACACATCACTCAATTCCTAGTTGGGTGGTTGTTCTTACTGCTTCGCATGGTCACTCATCTCTAAATGCTGGATCCAGGAACAGACTGTGTCTCGCTCTAAAATGGAATTTTCTTCATCTCCAGAAGAATTTTTACTTTCCAATGTTTTGCCTCCGCTGTCTTGCCTGCAGGCTTTTTATGATGGTGGTGGTGGTAGTGGGGATGGGCGGTTTTGCTATTGCCATGGTTCTGGCCTTGGTGCTGACATTGCTGAGACACCAGAGGATTACCGTACTGGCTACCTGAATGACCCTCCCTTGCAAGCTTAGACTTGCTGATGGACTACATGTTGATCACAAGGCACTCTGTAGGAACTCTGATGGGTCCTGATTTTCAAACTGTCTGCCTTGACACTCACTGCAAAGCAGGAGTTTGTGAGTCTTATCAGCTTGGTGTGGTCCCAAGGGTTTCTCTTGAAGGACAGCACTCCAGACGTTTGGACAGCAGCCCTGCTGTTTCTGTCCGGCAGACCGTTTTCTTGCGATCTTGTATGTGCAGTTCTTGGGTTCTATGGTGCCCCACTTTGAGAAGGTCCTGTATGTGCAGTTCCATGCAACCGTTCTCCAGAGTGATCTCCTAGCCAATGGGATAACTCACCAGCTTCCCTGGTCAACCACATTCATCTTGGTATGTTGACCAGGGCTTCTCTCCTCTGGTGGCTTCGCTTGCTTGCCCTTCAGATTGAGAAGTTACTTCCTCTCCGCTGAACAGTAGTCACAATGGATTCCAGCCTGTCCAGCTGAGGAGGGGACATTGGACGCCGTAGGTGGCTCAGCTGCTTATCTATGTCCTGGAGTTATCTGAGATCGGGCTGGGTCTGGCTCGGTGTACAGATCTTTTTCATGGGTTCCCAGTCAAGTTTTTATCTTGACAGACGCCGCTGTGCTGACCAGTATCAACTCCTGGATGATACACGTTACGGTACGCTGGAGTTCTCACGCACCCTTTGGGAAGTGAACCTTCATCTACTGCCTCTCTCCTCTGTGTACATCCCAGGCATTGGGAATGGACAGGCGGATGCCTCAGACGTCTGACTCTAAATTGGGGAGAGTTGTCCCTACACCCATCTGTGTCCCTTCCAATCTGCCTTCGATGGGGCTCTCCGGATTTGGATCTTCCGCTGCCTCACCTCCACAGGACGGTGCCCAGGTTCGTGGTGGGAGCGAAGGGTACCCTGAAGGATGTGACAGGTGCATTGGTGGCGTTCTGGCGTCAGTATCATTTAGACTTCCTTCCTCTTCGACTGTGCACAAAGCAGGCCAAATGGATTCTAGTCAGTTTGGTGGCTATTTAATCGTGGATGCCTCCTGACGACTGCCCCTTCTGGAGGATCTCTGGTACCAAGGACCTGTACTCCACCCTGCTTGTAATCTCTGGTGTTGACAGCATGACTATTGACAGCCTGGTTCTGCGAGTCAGGAGTCGTCACGTTTGGTGATCCTGACTATATTGCTTGGGTGAGGGTCTTCCTCTTGCGAGATTGTTCAGCGCACCTTGAATGCTTGCATCATCTGGTGCTCGGCTTTGAGTGTTCATCCACTCCACTTCTCAGTGGCTTGAGTTTTGGCCTTTTCCAACAGAATGTTGCACAAGGGCTGCCTTTCGTACCATTAAGGGTCAGGTTTCCATTTTTGTAATCTTCTTTCTCTGAGCTTTATACTCTATCTCCATGGATTTGTATCTTCACCAAGGGGTTGGCCATGTGGCACCTTCTGTACATTCACCTTTGCCACTGTAGGAGCTGACCTTGGTTTTTTTCGGTCCTTCGGAAGCCTCCTTTGAGAGTGTTTGTTTGGGATATTCCCCTGCTTATGGTATCTCGGGGAGTTGCCTTTTTTTTAGTTGCCTTCACCAAAAAAAAAAAAATACAGCCAGCCTTAGCCTGTCCTTGTCCCTCCTTCCTTCTGATGGTTCACACCAGCTTGAAGTCTTTGTTCTGCCTTCCCTGTGCTTGTGACCTTTGCACCCAGAAAAGGTTGTGCTTCAGCGATCGGCAGACTATTGTTCAAGTTTCTTCCTTTTGGGGTTGGGCTCTTCCCTTTCACGGCACACACTTCCAGAGTGATTCATGCCTCCTGGGAATTCTGACATCAGGCGTTCGTGTCTCCAGTTTTTCAGGAGACTACCTTGTTATCTGTGCACACTTTTATTAAGTTGTTGTGTTTTGCATCTCCGAAGCTGGTTTGGTTGTTCCTGTTATTTTTCTTCACCCACCCCTCATTGAGGCACTGCTTTGGTAAGTCCCTATGGTCAAGCTTAAAAGATCTGTGCCTGTCAATGGACGTAAGAGAAAACAGAATATTTTTGTTACCGTAAAATTCATTTCTCTCAGTTCATTGACGGAGACAGCACACAGCAGCGCTTTGTGACTAGCTGGATTGTCTATAGCAGAGAGGGAGTTTATACCAGCTTGGACTGCCCATGGGTGGTGCTGTGGGGTTTTTATTTCTGCCTACTGTCCTACTCCTGTAGGTGGCGATAAACCCCTATGGTCAAGCATAGATGAGCTGTATCCATCAATTAACTCAGAGAGAGGTTTTTTTTTGGTGAGTTACAAAAAGACATCTAATGTTTTGTCACATGGAGACTATACATCTGTTAACAGAATACTTCTTCCAACTTCATCCTGCCTGCAATGGTCCAGCTTGGTAATTGCATCCACTGGCATTGTTGATTGGGGAGTGAGGAGTGATTGTTTGAACTAGCTGGTTACAAATCCTCAAACTCCTTAAATAGGAACTTCCCCCTCTCAGTCAACACTGAATATGTACATCATATTTACTTGTTTTAAACTTTTTTTTTTTTTTTTTCCACGTTTCCATTTATTTCCTAGTTTCCAGGCCTAGGCAAATTAGGTCATAAATCCCATAGTCTTCAAGAAGGAGGAGGGGGGTTTTCTCAACTAAGCACACCCTCCTGCGTTCGCTAAAGGCAGATGTATTCCAGAAAGTAAATGCTACTTGACTCATCTGCTCTTACTCATGATAGCTGCCGCCAGAAATGTTAGGGGGTGTT